TCAACCATGCCCATATTTATACTAAACTTTTTAGCAATAAAATATATATGACTTGTATAACTTTTACAAGAAATGTTACAAAAGTCTTTAATAATTTTGACAAGCAAAATTGAAAAATCTTTTCTCAGTTCTACAAGTTAATACAACAATATAATAGGGGATTCTCTCGTTGAGAGCCTTTGATTTGGTTCCTTGCTGCCGGATTTCATCTTAAATCGATCGTTGTGAGTTTAATCTTATTGTCCTTTCTTCGCTTCTGGTGTTATATCCATCGTTTTTCTGCTCAGTGTTATCCTCGGTATATTTTGGTATTTGGGGATTAGGGTTCAGAATGGAAGGTAATATCAAATTCAGCCCAGATGATGACCTATCTTCTCGTCTGGGGGAGTTTTCATTATCAGAAAGAGAAGTTAATGTTGTCGATATAGCTCAGAAAGACATCAGAATGAGTGACGATGAATGCCAAAGGAGTCTGTTTCGCAAGGTAGTGGGTGACAGAATAGCGGGGTGGTTCGGAGTGAAAAGGGCGATGACTCAAATCTGAAGGCTTAGCCAACCTATGGAGGTTAAAGAGCTTAGCCCCAATTTTTTTCAGTTTATCTTTCAGAGTCGAGAAGACAAAGATAGAGTTGCAGGAGGATCAAATTGGAGCTTTGAGAATCAATACTTGATTCTCAATGAATGGGCTAGGGGTATCAACACCAACCATCCATGTTTTAAAGAAATCAAGCTCTGGGCCCAGGTTACCAACCTCCCATTAAACTGGTTAAGCACAGAGGTGGGTTTAAAGATTGGTACTGTGTTTAAGGAGGTTAGTAATGTTTTTATAGCAAATACAGGAAGCCATGGAAGTAAATTTTTAAGACTTCTGGTTACTCTTAATCTGGATGAGCCTGTTCCTAGAATAACAAACATCAGGCTGGGGGAAGATATGGTCAGTGTTGGATTCAAGTATGAGAAACTCATGAGCCTCTGTCATTACTGTGGAAAAATTGGTCATCTAGACAGATCGTGTCAGATTAGAATTCAGGACATTAAATCCAAACAGCTCAAGGAGGGACAATATGGAGACTGGCTGAGGGCAACTGAAGGTCTAAGATGGGGCGGTTCTACATCTGGGAATAGAAGCTCACCTCCTCCTAATTCCCCATCTACTGCTGAACAAGGGACATCTCATAGAGCTTCTACCAGTCAAACTGGAAACAGCAATCAGATAATCCCTGCTCCAGAAACTACTGAACTCCCAGATGAGCAACTAGAGGAAGCTGCTGATGTCATTCCATCTCCAAGGCAATTAGATTCTACACAATCTTTTTCATCATCTAATATAACTGCCAATGAGACTAGGACCCTGGTCATTTCAGAACCTGCGAGTAAGGAAATTTTGGCTATGATGGATGTGTAAGATCAAGCTATCACAGACAAGGTGACACTTTCTCTGAGCCATGGAGCAGTTGCTAAATCATTAATGGCTCCCCTTAAGACTTGGAAGAGAATGGGAAATAAATCAGGAAGACTTCAGAGAGAGCAAGATACTCCAATAGAGATTGATAGCATCTCTGGCTCCAAGAGGACTTCCTCTGAAACTGATCTTCTTATGTCAGCTAAGGACTCTAAAATCAAGAAGCAAGGTGATATCTCAAACATAGATTCTAATTCTGAAAAGGTGGGGGTTGCCAGCCTCGAATGGCACCCAACTGATCAATGTTAGCTATGGTGTGGAATTGTAGAGGGCTAGGTGGGCCCTCTACAATTTCCCAAATCAGAGAGTTATTGACAACTCACCACCCAAATTTTCTTTTTCTTTCAGAAACCAAAAAATCCAAAGCATTTGAAAATACAGTCTGTAAGAAATTGGGTTTTGAGGACAGGTTCACAACGGTGGACCCTTCAGGGCTCAGTGGGGGTCTAGCTCTTTTTTGGAAACCTCATGTAGTTATTTTGCAAATTCTTCCTAAAGACTTCTATTTGGCTGTGGAATTCTATCTCCCTCAAGAAGCTCCTCAGTGGGGAATTTTTGTTTATTTTAGCCCAGTTAGAAGTATCAGAACAACTCAGTGGGAAGAGTTGACTGCAGATAGAGATTCCTGGGGTAATATGTGGTTTGCAGTTGGTGATTGGAATGATATTCTATATTCCTTTGAAAAAGCTGGAGGTAATCCAAGGAACTCAACTTCTTTATCAGGGTTCACTAATTTTGTTAACAGAATGGCTATGGAGGAAATAAGAATGGAGGGGCCATTATTTACATGGTGTAATAATAGAGCTCACCCAGACTTGGCAGAGGAAAAGTTAGATAGAGCCTTTGGGTCTATGGATTGGAATCAGCTCCACCCTAATGCAGTTATTATCAACAAAATTAGGAGTGCATC